CCGAGCTTACTTCAAGCAGACCCCATTCCGTTGCCTCGGAATGAAAAGCGCAGCAATAACAGATACCGCTCAGTCGACGATATTACCACCAGCGTTTAGGCACAACAGCAGTGAGAAGTATGATAGCGCTTTTTTCGCGCACGATGGACTGACAAAAAATTTTGATGAGAAGAAACAAGGCCCCGCACGTGGCATGTATGCATGGTGGATGGAGTTCAGAAGAGGTTGGCATTGTGCGCGTGTGAGAATCCTGCGCAGACTTCACGATGCCCTGTAGTCACCACCGCATGATTGTTTATGTGCAAACTACTGTACAGAAGGTCGGGAGGAGGGTGGGTCGTTCCCAGCAGAGTTTACATCGATCTCCTTCTCTCNGACCCCCCCCCCCCCCTCCATGTGGATGATGATGGCGCTTGTCAATGTAATGTAAAGCGGACGGCAATGCAAGGGCGTTGGTTTTGTTCTCGAGACTGATGGCTATGATTGCCGCTGAGTTTGCTGCTGCGCTCTATCCACCATGTGTTCTTGTGGTGTACCCAACGTTTTTTTTCAGATATTAATGTACGGGCGGTCGCCCGCGTTATTAGCTACCCTGCAAGTATTGCCGGTGCATCCATGTGAAAAACCTCGGTTGTTACCCTGCACTATTCGAAAATGCATGCTGGACGTCATAGTCTTCTTTCACACTGAGGATAGTCGTATGCATATTTGTGCTGGACGCGTGAAGTCTTCAGACGTTTGTCTTGGACGCATCGATCGTCACCGGCACATATATGGACACAGCAGAGGACGCTTGCTCTCACTGCCTGCGTTTTTTCTCCCCTTTTTTTGTCTACAAACAACCGCCTCTTCTTTGCTGTGCTTGTTGCTCGCAGCGGCAAGTCCGGACTTTGTCGCTGCTTGACATCGTTAACCGACAAGTCGAGTTGCTGCAGTTAATGGCTGCTGGCTGTTGGGGAGGGGGGCGCGAAAGCAGTTTCAAATAACACACTGTATAGTGCGGCGAGAATAAACGAACCGCAGTCGACCCCTCGACCCCGCTTTAAGGACCCTCGCGTTGAGGAAACCCCCCGCTTAGCGGAAAAAAACTTGTTTTCTCGATGCTTTCGAAATTTGTCATTATTATTTTGCGTACCCCCTTTGCTCGCCAAGGGGGAGGGGAAAAGAGCGGAGACCAGGCAGGGCAACACCACACACGCCCCCGGTCTACTCCTTACGATCAGTATAAACATCAGTCACCCAACAGACAGAGACATATAAACTCTGTCTGCCCCCCACAACCGCTGATAGTACCACACCGGCTTGTTCATACTGAAACCACGAGAG